CTTTAATACTTTTTCTATCGACTCAGCCTCGCGGGACCGCAGCAGCCGATCGGCGGAGTATGTCTCTTGTATCTTCTCTACGTCGAGGTAACCCAAACCCACCAAACACATATCCACACGCAACGCCTTCGCTGCTGAAACGGGAGATAGACAAGAATAACAACCAGAAGAAGAAACTCCCCCAGCAGCAGACGAAGAAGAAGAAACAGAAAAAGGAGAAGAAAAAGACGAAGAAGAAAAAGAAGAAGAAAAAGAAGAAGAAGAAGAAGAAGAAGAAGAAGAAGAAGAAAAAGAAGAAGAGGAAAAAGAAGAAGAGGAAAAAGAGGGAGAAGAAGAAGGAGAAGAAGAAGAAGAAGAAGAAGAAGAGGGAGAAGGAGAAGAAGAAGAAGAGGGAGAAGAAGGAGGAGAGACGCCGTCTGGGTCTAGGCCGCAAACAAAGAACTCCAGCGATCGATCCCCCCATTTGATGGGCACCCGGTAAGCGGAGAAACCGTTCCCTGAAATAAAGTGAAGGCCGTTGGCGTCAGCAGAAGTTGAAATGAAGCGGCGAGGGAGCGAGGGACCTGTACATACACCCCAACGAGGAGGAGAGGAACAGGAAGCTTCACGCGCCCCAGCAAAGCCCTCATTTAATAAAGTGATGGGGTTGCTGCTCCCACGAGAAATAGATGTTTCTGCTGAAGCTGCAGTGTATGTACACCTCGGTGGGTGCTGTGAAAAACCCTCCGCTGCCGCTTCATCACGACGCAAAGAACTGCAGCGGTATCCCCCCAAATGAACGGATGCATTTCGTTTTGTTTTATTTAAAAGAAAGTGCTTGCAGCTCGCGGGCTCCCTCAGTCGGCTGCTGAGGATGGGGGCAGCAACAGCAGCAGGCGCTGCTGCTGCTGCTGCTGCTGCTGCTGCTGCTGCTGCTGCTGTTGCTGTTGCTGCAACAGGGCTGCAGCAGTTTCCTCCCCGGTGTCTAGCGGTAGAGAAGCCGCAGGTGTATATACACCCGGCGAGAGGCTGCGGCTTTCGGTGGATGAGGATCGCTCTGCCGATCATTTTTTAAAAAAAGAAAAAAAGTTTATTCAGCTGGCGGAGGGAGGAGCAGCGTCATGGTGTACAGGCAGGTGTTGCTGCTGTTGTTGGTGTTGTTGCTGCTGTTGTTTTGTTG